TGTTTCGCCACCCTTACCGCCACTAGGTAGGCCTTAACAGCAGCTCTAACCCGTGTTCAGTCTGATTCATCCCGCGTTTTCCACCAGTGGCGCTCTAGACATCTCTTAGCCCTTTTCAACTCCCTCAGCTCCTCCGTGAACCATGGGGAGCGCCAGGGGTGATGGGCCAAGAGAGGACGCACAGGCGCGATCCTGTCCAAGGCCCCAGCCGCCTCCTTGTTCCAGGCTGCGGCCAGAGCCTCCGCTGGACCGTGCAGCAAGGCCTCAGGAACAACCCCCAGCTCCCTTTGGAACCCATACGGGTCCATCAGTTGCCGGGGGCGGACCGTTCGAATAGGTCCCACCTCCCTGCAGAAAGTGGTCAGTAGTGAGGCAGTGGCAAACAAGCTAAGCCAAGAGACAACTGATTATTTAGGGTGGCAGATGCTCTTGTATTCTTGATTTTTTTTTTAATAGTACGTACTGTTGGACATAGCTACAGACGCTGCTTTTATTACTTTACAAATATCCTGTGCTTTTAAGTCACTTCTTTGCATGCAATGAATCATTAAGCTTAGCATATAAAATTACTTAGTGCACCATTGCTTAGTATACCTGTGATTAAAAAACCCACATACATTTAATATGTAAGTATGACTCATTTGTATTACAAAGCAGAAGTGAGGGATTTGTGGCCCTCCAGGTGCTGATGAATTATAATTCCCAGTATCCCTTGGATATCCTGTACTGGGAAGGCCAAAAGTTTTCCTTTGCTGTAAAGATTAATGTCTCTGGGCAATGATAAATAACTGTGTAAAGTTGCTTTGTCAACTTTGACATTCACATATCTTCCATGGTACACCCCACCTTATATTTCTATTTGATGGAAAAGAATGAAAGGATGGTTGAGCCTATTTTTCCTAATGTATTAAGGCCCAAGATTAAATGGAACTTGTTTTTGCAGAGAATTACATTGCCAGTGCTATTCAGATTGCACTTTTGGATTTTTAGTTTAATTTGTCCAGCATTTTTTTAAAGAATTTGCATGCTTACAAACTACTTGCTTTGAAATATTATGAGATATAGTATACATTACAGTACAGAATATTGCATGAGAATCATAATCATTGCTTTGTTTTAAAATACAATTGTTTTTAGTTTATAACTCAAATGAAAACATATTTATGAGCTTTCTTTTGCTTCCATTTTTGCTCTTTTGCTTCCATCTCCCCCATTATAATAACTAAAATGCTTCATGTCATTCACTGGATGTACTCCTTGTAAATATATGGCATCAGGTGAAGGTGGATTTGCCATTAGTTACCAGGGAAGTTTATGGCAAAGGGTAGAATTGAAACATGGCTCTTCCTGATTTATAATAGTTGCTATAGTCTTATTCACTGCGGTCCACTAATTCTTGACTTTGTCAGGAGATATATACCTAGTAAATTCAGATGAACAAGTGGCACCAGTATAGGACAGATCAGGATGTTACAGATATCCTCTGTGTAGCTTAAAAATTAACAAGCAGAGCCTTGGCTCAAAATGTTTTTATCATTTGTACTATGTTACCAGTACTTGAAAAGATGGCTTCATGAATAGTCTCAAGGATTCTAGATGAAATGAAAGCAGTTTTTGCAAGCATTGTAAGTCTTTTATGCAGAAGCCCACAAAACCTGAATTGTACTTTTCAGTAATTGTTATACCCATTTAAAGTATTTTTGACATAAGGAAAATACAATGACATCTCAAAACCAGTAATTCTATCTTTACATTGCTTTTTGAATAGACATTTGTTTAGCAACACATTTTGATGAATTCCTAAGCTTGTGATGCTACTGAACGTAATCTGGCTTAAAATGTGTTCTGCTATGGTTATAGAATTAAAGGTTAGCAGCAAATGTATTAGGATGCTTTAAAAGAGGGGGGCGGTAAGGTTAAGCATCACACAGACTTTCTCCCATACAGTGAAACATTTTTTTCTTTTTCTTTTTCTTTTTTTTCTTAGCAATAACCTCTCTCTGGAGAAGCTCCTCAATCCTCTGGAAACAGATTAGGGGAGGATGATATAGGAGTTACAGAGAGTGGGAAAGTTGGTTCTGCTTTCTTGATTGATAGACACAATTTAATATACTCGGGATTGTTATGTGTTATGAGCAGAAGGGAAACAAATACATTCCAATGCTACACCAGCTTGCACAGGAATTGTATTTCTGCTCTTTATTGACCATTAGAAATAATCAGAAAGAATATACTGTTCACATTGTTGAATGGCATAATCTGTACAAAGTTTTGGCTTTTTTCTCTCAGAAATGCAAACAGTGAAACTACAGCTTACTTATACTCTTGTTCTTTTACTAATGAAACTTTAATGCAGCAAAATTAAAAATTATTCCTCTCCGTACTTTTGGTATTACTTCAATTTTCCTATCCTTTCTTTTTGTTTTGCTCTCTTTTTCTTTCATTCTGCTGTCAGGAAAGTCTGCCTTTGAAGGGTCAGTTCTG